CACTGTTTTGCAAACAGGGAGGCTCCCAGGAGGAGGGACTCAGATGACAGGGAACCGTGGAGTCTGAGCACAGATAAGAATGAACAGGCAAATGGTTCGGTGGGAAAAAAAAAAAAGGTAATTACAATTTGCAGGAGAAACAGAAGCTCTGAAAACTATACGAACACAGCAGTGTTTTGCTCTGTAATTTGCTATGTAATTCTATCATACACAGCAGAACGTGGGAAATAGGTTTTTAGTTTATAAAACCCAAAATGTCAGGATGAACACTTTATTTTCATTACACTAACCTGAGAGGAGAAAAAGTGGTAAAGGACCCAGAAGGAAGGAAGAAGGTTTGGTACCGTACGACAGACATCATGCACAACGGACAGACCAGAAGCAGACACTGTGAGGCTGGCACTGCGTGTGCAGAAGGACGCCCAGAAGAGTCAGATGAAGTGAGGGCCGCTTTCCCCTGCACCGCGCTGCTGGTGTCTTCTGTGGGGCAGCCCAAGGCCAGACTGCCAGGGTTTGACTCTGGGCTCTATTGCCTGCTCGATGGGTACCTGGCAAGTTACTTGGCTTTTTCAGAACTAATTCATCCTCTACGAAGAGGAGATGATGTGTGCATTATAGAGATATTATGTTAAAGCCAATGATCCAATAACACATATAAAAGAATGCCTGGCATGTAAAATGTGATTAATGGAAATTTTGATCACAAGTAATACACGTAAACTTAGGAAAAAACTAAGGAATGTCGAGCAATGATATCCAACAAAACAGAAGAAAAAGACACTGTGGTAACCCTGAAGAATGAGGCCATGCCCAGATGTGCTGTGGATGGGTCTCACTGCCCTCTGACCCAAGTCTGGCAGTCAGCCAGCGACTCCCTCTGATTTTGCCCACCCCTCAGAAAGCGTCCGGTGACTCCCCATGTCTGCAGACTGCCCTTGTTCCTGTCCTGCCCCTCCCCTTTCCCTCTGCCATTGGCTAATGCACCCCGAAGGCTTCTCTCCTCCAGGAAAGATGGCTGCAGTTCAACTGGACCAGCACTAGACCTCTCTCCATGTGCCACACAGCACCCAGAGGGTGTGAGGGCAGCCGGCTCTCCCAGAGATGGTGACGGGTCAGTGATGACTGCACCCATGGTGGCTGGGCAAGGTGGGCACATTCCCCTGTGAGAACGCTATTTCCCTTGGCAACCACACCACCCTGCACATTTGGTACATTCTGAACAGCAGCAGCGATATCCTTGTCTGCTCCTGAGACAGGACTCTCCTACTTCCTTTCGCAGTTGATTTTTTCTTTTTTTAGAGACAGGGTCTTGATATGGTGTCCAGGTTGGGAACAAACTTGTACACTCAAGTGATCCCCCTGCTTCAGCCTCCTGAGTAGCTAGGCTACATACAGTACCACAGTACCAGCTCTTTGTATGATTTTATTTAGTGTTCAGAGCAGGCTTTCATACTTCCTTGTCTTTACTAGAAGTGATTTAAGGATGGGAGCTGCCACCCTCTGCCTTCAAAGTCCACAAGCACCTGACAATAACATGTTAGAGTAGAAGCACAAAGAAGGCCACCAAATCTCACCCTGGGAGGTGGCCCTCCAGCTCTACTCAGACAGACCCTAGCGGAAGGCAGGAGTGCCCAAGAGGACCCACACCCCTGTGGGACACAGGAGAAAAGCCCAGGGTGCTTCCTCAGGCCATGCTCCAAAAGCAGTTAAAAGTAGCACTGGCTGGGGTCGCACACACTTTTAATTCTAGCACCCTGGGAAGCTGAGGCAGGAGGAGCGCAAGTTCCAGCCCAGCCTGAGCAATTTAACAACTCAACAAGATCCTGTCGCAAAATAAAAAATAAAAGGCTGGGGGATGTAGCTCAGAGCAAAGGCCCAGAGATCAAACCTTGGTACCTCCATTACCCCTACCCTGACATTATTGGGCGCTGGCCTGCGAGCTGGCAGGAATGCTGCCATCCTAAGCTAAGTAGAACCATTTTAGAGTTAAGTTTCTGTTTTAGTGACTATGTTTCTGTTTCCTAAGACTGTAGTTCCTTATCTTTGTTACCCAGCCATTATAATTGCCAAGGTTACTATTACCCATGATAGTTTATGTTTATGCCTATTTCTTCTTATCTTGCTAGACATTTTGTGCTATTCTGAAGTTTCTCAAACTTAACAACCTTCGAGTTTTTTGAGTCATCTGGTGTTTTATGACGTCCTCACTCTGTAGAAGTTTCCTAATGCTTGCTTTAGGACAGATAAGATTGTTATGGTATTATCATGTCCCCTCCTGTTAGTTTGTGGTTTTTTGCTTTAAAAGTCTGATGCTTGCCTGCAATAAACGTCGCCTTGATCAGACTCCTGTCTTGGCATCCTTCTTTCTCTCCCTGCCCCATCTCCGCCTGATGCTCTTTCAGGTTTGAGCACCTAAGACAGTGCTCTGCGTCGCCGGCTCGCGACATGACATGGTAAGAACAAAGAGTGGTGTCTGCTGTCTGTGTTCTCCCCATGGTGGGAGAACTCAGGGTCCCTTACAGCAGGACATTTAATTAGTAAATCCTCACATGCGACCGAATTCTGTCTTTCTTTATACCTGCTTACCAGTCCTGGCCTTTGGAAAGCATACAACAAATATCACCTGTCATATGTTAACTGTTTAAGTGGATGAAAATAGCTACTGTGAGCCCTTTACAATGCTTTCCAGACAGAAAACCTAATGGTGAATTGCTAGGGTGTGAGGACAGGAAGGAGATAACAAAACGCCAGCTGAAGACGATGACAGAGGCACAGAAAGAGAAGAATGATGTCCAACACCCCAAGTGTCTCTGATGGGGACACACTGGTGTCCCAGCCCCACCACTGCTCCTGGGGATGGCACTGCGGGGGTCCTGGCCAGGGAGGCAGCCACTTAGAACGTTTCAACATCCACCCCAATACAGGATCGCTGCCTTTTCTGAGGTCCTGAGAAAAACCCTGACCTCGAGCGCTGACTTCTGACTTCGTGTCAAATTGTCCTCCCCGTCAGAGCATGTGTTCTGCCAGGCCCCGTGGAAGTCCCGAGAACATGGCAGAACTGTGGCCACTCCTGTCCCTGCTGCTGTTCATCTCCAGCACCAAGAGCCAGATCACAGCAAGGCTAAGGTCTAAGTCGAAAGAGAGACCAGTAACTGGGGACAGCTCGGCACCCAACATGGCATCTCTTTATCTGCCCATCTTCGCATCCCATGCCTTCCTATTTCACACAGTCACTGTCACCCAAGTCTACCAGGCGGTGCATGAAGGGTGCCACACACCCCAAATTGGCTACAGTCCTACCTCCAAGATCCCCAAGTGGAGTTGGGGCTGGTGCAGGAAAAGGAAGGGAGCTCAGGATCCTGCCAGTAAGTGTCCGTTCTGGCACAGCACTGACCCAAGTCCTGACAGCCAACACGGGAGCACGCACCTAAAAGGCAGCTGGCCCACTGTCTTAGCTACTGTATGCTGACCTAACCACCACTTACTTAGCGTGTGCCAGGCATGAATGACTACCCTGGCTAGAGAACACAAAGCCGAAAAAGGCACGATGTCCCATCTCAAAAAATCTTATCTCCTATAACCAAAGGCTTAGAGAACATGACGGAGAGGACACGCATGCCACCGCAAGTGACTCTCCAAGTCAGCAGACTCTGACAACACAACTGAAAATGGGTCTAGTCAAAACTAGATTGTCAAGATGACCTGGTTTTTACTGCCTTTTAAAGGACTGGCTAGGTTCAAGGACAGCAGAAATTAGGGGGCTAGGGAGAACATCCAACACAAAAGCTAATTCATTACAACCTCCAAAGCAGCAGGACTATGACAACTGCCCTGTCACACCTAATTTTAGTCCCTGCTGATGTGATGGACACGCAAGAGGAAACTATCTATAGAACATCCAACACAAAAGCTAATTCATTACAACCTCCAAAGCAGCAGGACTATGACAACTGCCTGTCACACCTAATTTTAGTCCCTGCTGATGTGATGGACACGCAAGAGGAAACTATCTTAAAATCACCAGTCCCAAACTCTTACCATACAGGAGATGGAATGGGAGGGGAGGCTGTTCTAGGCTGGACCCGCACCCTCGGCAGGAAGTGTTGGACCCAGGGCCAGCCCCCTATCTCTACTGGACGTCAGCAGCAGCCAAGCAAGAGGCATTCTCAGACCTGCATTTCACTTCAGAGTTCCCCGCAGCCCTGGTCCCAGAGCCACATCAGTGAGGAAGGCGATATTTCCTTATGACATGGCAGAGAGCAGTGGTGCGGAAAGCATACGTGAATTCATCTGGGATGAATAGGCCTTTTCACCACCCCCTTGGTTCAGCCGCTTTTGTAGCTTTTGTAGTGATAGAGCAACAAAGATGTTTATCACCAGGAGCCCGCTCAGCAGCTGTTTCTCACTGTTCCTTGTTTAACATCTCTCAAGAGTGGAGTTATCTGCTCAGAAAAGCAGGTGTTTCAGGCAGGTGATTCTGTTTCCATTAATTTTTCTGAAGTAATAACAGGCCAGAGTAGGAGGTTATCTCCTGCACTCCTGGGGACACCTTGCCCTGTGCCTGTGAGATCACAAGCCGTATGCTTGGCAGGGACGTCTGCCCTGCTGGTTCTAGCACCTTCTAACCGCTAGTTCCAGCAGTAAGCACAGTGAGCGGCACAGCCCCACCCTGCTCGACACCTCCATTGTGTCTTCTTTGATAACATGTTAGAGGTGAACCGAGGTTGGAGGTTTGTAATTTCTTAGGAAAAAGCAGGCTAAGAAAAGCCTGACTACTTCAAAGCCCAGCTAAATGGTCATATTAATGACACCATCACTGGTCGAAGCTCCAAGCTACCACAAGGACAGTTTAATATAAAATGTGAAAAACATTTTAAGAAATGTGAAGAAAGCTCAAGGCCTCCACTACCTCCTGTCAGCTGTAGACCCCACTGCGCACTGCGGGTGAGAGGGATGGCGGACTTCTCTATGAGGCCAAGACCCCACAGCCCTTCTGTTACCTTCAGTGTTATCCCACTGTGGAGCCATTTTCATGAGAAGCGAACATTCGGTGACACATTTCTTTCTCTCTATCCATGTAGTCCCTGTAATAGCTGTGGAGAGAAAGGCACAGCGTCTGTTTGTAAGAGGTGACATCTGGTGGCTGGAATTCTCTGCTCAGGTACACGCACATCCCACAGTAGGGGGAAGTCATGCCACAGAGGCAAGGAGACAGGCCAAGCTCCTAAGGCACACACAGCCACCATTTGAAAAGCAGCAGCTGTGAAGGGGGAGCCAGCACCCCTGGGTCTCAGGGCCAAGCCCTGCCAAGCGAACCTTCACTCAGTGGCCTCTGACTTATCTGGAGGTTTTCTTGCTAAGTCATGGACAGACCCCCAAACTCCACCTCTAACCTGAGGGAATACTTTTACATTTCAGAACGGGAATTCATGGAAAGCCCTAAAGTCCTAAAATACCATTGAATCCGAATATAAGGATGCACACAACTCAGTCTCACAACGCCAGGAAACCTTCAGCCAGAAGTCTGGACCAACCATTCCATGTTTGGAGTAGAAAAATCTCACCACAGCAGAACAAAACTACGCCTTTAAAATCAGTGGACAGCTTACTAGGTGACTCCTATTTATAGGAGAATGTTTGTAAAGTTTTCTGTAGTGAACATGTAACTTCTATAACCAGAAAAGTAACATTTCTAAAAGACTAGTGTCTCTAATCCTTGAATTAGGCCTGACTAGCCTGTTTCCAATCCCCACATGCTGGGAAGAACAGGTGGGTCTCTCACCATGAACAGAACCAGATCTGAGGTACAAGACCCTTTCAAGGCCACCTCTCTGGGGGCACCTGTCTGCGGGGAGGTGGGAAAGGGTCAGGCATCCAGTTTGCCAGCTCTCCCCGCCACACACTGGGAACTGCTGGATCAGGGCACTGTGTGGGGGCCACCTCCTAGTGGGGTCTGGGCAATGTTCCCAGTCTTCCTTCACTGGGGGATGGCCTGGAACAGCCCAAATCACAGGCGCCCCTGTGCCTGCCGGCTGAGGTCTCACCTGGCCAGTTTCTTCAGCTCGTTATTGATGTCATGATTGAAGGGCTGCTCCTTCTGGGCGCGAACTAGGAAGTCCCGGGCCTGCTCGTAGTCAGTCAGGAGAACACAAGCCTGTCATGAAGGGCTAAACTTTAAAGGCAGATTTAGGCCTTTATTTTGTGGCGTCAGAGTTGAGCACTGAGGCTTCCTTTCTGGGGCACTTGTTCCCAAGCCCTTCTCCCAGCTCACCTGTCCACACCTGAAGAGGGCTTTGGCATTCTTTTGGTCAATGATCAGAGCCTGCTGTCCGTAGCGCAGGGCCGTGGTGGGTTGGTGCAGCTTCAGGTACGCCAAGGACAGGTTCAGGAGAATGAGGAGCTTGGTGGCTTCCACCAAGTGCTGCTCCTCAGGGGGTGCCAACCGCCGGCGCAGCAGCAACAAGGCCTGGGGGAGAGGGCAGGCAGGTGGTGGGGGCACCCACAGAGCGCCCTGAAGAATTCACATGTGCAAAACCAGCGGAGCTAAAAACCAAGTCGGCAAGGTGGCATGACACTAGATCAATATATAGAAGCCCTAGGATTTCTGACAGGAAAACAGAGCCTTGGGGCTGAGTGAGCAGGAGGCACACTCCCTCTTCTCTCTCCCAGCTCTGTTGGGATAAGCAAGGCTTACAGCAGCAGGAGCAAAGATGGGAAGGGCGTCACCCGGCCCAGCGTGTGGGTGTGGACCACAGCGGGGTGATGAGGCTGGTGGAGATGGGCAGGGATGGAACTAACAGTGGAGTCATAGGAGGAAAAAGGCCCAACATTCTGTTCCATCTTGCTGTGTCCAGATGCCTGCAGCTCAGGAATAAGGGCTCTATTTCTGGAGTGATGGAAGCAAAGTGGCTCTTGATTCAGGGACAGAATGGAGCAGCCTCTGTCCTGCTGCCCTTCTCACCCCAGAGTGCCACAGCCAGGCACTGACACTGGGCAGGAGACACAGGCTAAGGACACCCACGTGCTGCTCATGTGGCCACCACTGGGCCACACTGCAACCTGCCCTGCCAGGCCCTCGGGGCTCCCAAGCAGCTTTCCGATGCCCCTTCCAAATTTCAGCAGTTGGCCAAAGATCAGAGCCTCCATGGACAAGGGCTCCTGTCTCCCAGCAGCTGTCATCCCTTCTCCACAGTAACCAGACCCCCTTGCTAGAAACATGTCCATCCAGGACATGGGTATCTGCTAGGCCTCTGGCAGCTAAGGATGGCCAAGGTGGGTTCTATTCCTGTATGTGGCACAAACCCTTCTTCAGGGTGAGCTGTGTACTCAGCCCTCCTCCCTTCTGCTACCCAGAACTCAGAGGCCACAGCCAGGACAGCAGGCCCTACTGCAGGAGCAAGAAGTGTGGGGACCCAAACACTGGGGAGCACAGCACCCCAGACCTAGCTTGCATCCCTCTATCCTGTTACCAAGAGAAACTGTGGTCTCTGTCACCAATGGTCTCAGTCTCTGGAAGTTGCTACCTAACTATGCAATTCTCCAGCGCACAGAAAACCAAACTAAGAGAACTGAGACTAAAAAAAGATGATTCCAAGAAAACTTGAAAAAGTAACCAAGTCTAAAGAGATAATATACCCAGAAAATAAGAACAGAATGCCAGAAAAAAAGAACAAAGAGGCTCTTGAAATTAAAAACAAAATTCTCTCTTTTTCTTTTGAGATGGGGTCTTGCTATGGTGCCCCAGCTGGTCCTGAACTCATGGGCTCAAGCCTTCCTCCCACCTTACTGTCTGAGTAGCTGGGCTGTGTGCCTTGCTTGGAAAAAAATGTTTTAAGTGAAAAATGGATTAGAAGAGATGGTAAAAAATGGTCAGGAAAAGTTCCTAGGCAGTAGGGGGTAAAGACAGAAAGATGGTAATGATGAGGGGGTTAAAAAGAAAGGACAACTCAAGGTAAGGAGCCTGATAATAATTAATAAAAATTTTGTAAAAAGAGACCAGAAGAAAGGGACAGGGTAAATTATCAAAGAAATCATTTAAGTTTCCCAGAACTGAGGAAGAATTTCCTGAATAAAAAGTTGTAGCAAAGGCTCAACAAATTTTAAAATGCACACGCATGTGTGCACATACAACTGTAAAATGTAAGTACACCAGGGAGAAAAGATTCCAGAGTCTCTACAGAGAAAAATAAGGCCACTTATATAGCAACCTCAGTGGTATCACACTTCTTCATATGTGTGTGGGGGGGTACGGAGGATTGAACCCAGAGGCGTTCTATCACTGAGTTACATCCTCTGCCCTTTTAAAAAAACTTTTGAGCCGGGCGTGGTGGCGCACGCCTGTAATCCCAGCACTTGGGAGGCTGAGGCAGGAGGATCACTGTGAGTTCGAGACCAGTCTGGGCTACATTGTGAGCTCCAGGTCAGTCTCAACTACATAGTGAGACCCTGTCTCAAAAAACCAAAAAAAACAAACAAAAAAAAACTTTTGAGGCAGGGTATTGCTAATTTGCCCAGGTTGGCCTTAAACTTGTGATCGTAGCCTCAGCCTCCAAAGTAGCTAGAATTACAGGTATGCACCACTGTGTATGGCAGTATCAGGCTTCTTAACAGTAATTCTCGAAGTATAAACTCTGAATTTTTAGACATACAGTGCTATTCTCTACCAAAATAAAGGAATACACTGAGAAAAACAGCAGCAAACCCTCAAATGAGGGACACCCCAGGGCAAGAGCTATGTAGCAGGCCCAAAGAGTCCCTGGTGGGAATGGCCCCAGGACTCATGGGTGAGAGGCTGGACCTCATGGAAAAGTACACTAACAGGGCTTTCTAGCTGGGTGTGGTAGTGTGTGCCTGGAATCCCAGCAATCTGGGAGGCTGAGGCAGGAGGACTGGAAGTTCAAATCCAGTCTGGACACCTTAGACTGTCTTAAAATAAATACATGAAAAGGGCTTGGAATGTAGCTCAGTGTGGAGGCCCTGGTTCAATTCCCAGCAGTGCAAAAAGAAATAGTGTGTATGGGGGCTTTTCTTTCTTGTAGCAAAGTTTAGAAAGAAACAGCGAAAGGCATAGAGAAAACTAAACAACCAAGAGGCAATTTAAGGGGCAAAAAGGGATGCCGCACAAGGAAAAGGATGAAGTGTAGGAAACTACTTAGCTCAGCAGGATGTAATATTTATACAACCTTAATAATGCAAAACTGAGTATCAATTTTTTCAACGATGACACACCAGTACTGGGAAAACAGAAGTGAGAGCGAGACCTAAAGCCTCACCTTCCATAATGAGAAACCAAAAATGTCAGAAAAGAGCAAGCCATTTGTCAAGGCTGAGTAAGGAGAGAACAGCAGATACAATTAGAGACACAGGAAGGAGAGCGAGGGGTGGAAGGAGCAAGGGGTCTCAGGGTAAGCAAGCTGGCTCTCTTGAAGTCTTATGACTGACAGGATCTGTGACTGAACCTCACCCCTCACCAAACATGTACCTGCTACTTTAGGAACAGATTCTGTCTACTCTGAAGAGGTGGCAAATGCATTCACTCACCCGTCTCCCTCTGGAGCACACTGATAAGTCAAACATGGTGGCCGCTCTCCCCTTGTGACAGAAGCCTATTCACGCCAAGCAGCACTGTACTAATTCAGAAGACTGTATTTTGGGCTGGGGGTATAGCCTGGCAGTGGACTACATGCCTAGCATGAGCAGACCCTGGGTCCATCCACAGCACTGCAAAAACAAAACCAAACCCTCTCATTTCCCAGCTTCCCACACAGCTAAGGGAGTCTCTAGAATATGGGTCTGGCCAGTGAGATGTAAAGTGCCTGGGGTGCTTCTGGGAAGTTGTACACACTATCTACAACACATATGTGTGTGCGCGTGTGCACACACACACACACACACACACCAGACTCTGCTTCCCTCCCTTCTCCCAGCCAGGCTACTCTGTGATGCTGAAGACTATGTGACCTTGGAGAAAAAGGAAAATACCACTGAAGGATGGCAGCTAAGCAGAAAAAGGAAGCAGGTTCCCAGCCCTGCACAGCCTCCCTTTGCAATTCCCTTCTGTGAAGAAATACGGTTTCTTTCGGAAGAGTGAGAATCCTGAAGAGCTTATGCTTAGTGCACAATCAGACCAAACCACAATGCCCTAAATGCTGCCCTGTGCTCTCAGAGTTTGCTCAATTACAAAGGACACAGAAAACAGCTGTCAGCATGACAGGTACTGGGAGCATCCCAGTTAGAAGCCCAGCAACACCAGAATCACTCAGGGTGAGACTAATCTCTGCCATCTAAGGCACCTGAAATGCAGGTGGCAGATGAGTGGAGAATCAGTCGGTGGAGGACCAAACACTGGGAAGATTATTTTTTAATACGTGAATTTTATTTTTTAGAGCACTGGGATGAACACTGTGGAGAACCATAGATCCGCCCCTCCGCCATTTTATGATATAGCCTATGAAGACATTTTGGATTAGGTTTAGTTTTCCTGTAGATCACATGATATGTTCCCGTGGGTGTTTGATGTATCCTTATAAGGTAATAATCTGTTCTCTGTATGCTGATTGGTTGCATTATGGTATATATGTTGCCACCCCTTCCAGGAGAGAAAGAAAGCGGGGTAGAGATCCGGAGATGAGAAACTAAAGTAAACTCCTTGTGTATCAAGTGTGTGCCTCTTTGCTCACCCATCGCCAGTTCAGGCCCCTGTAGTCGCAGACCGAGTTGCCCAAGGCAATCCGGCTCGCGACAAACACCTTTTAAACTTCTAATTAAAGTATATAGTCATACAGGTAAAGCACAAAATACTGCACTGCTCAGCGAACTTTCACAACCAAAACACACCAGTGTAACCCCACCCAGATGAACCCCTCCAATGTCACCATGCCTCTCCTGAGCCCCTGCACCCCCTTCCAGCCGGGCCCCTATGGCATGAGGGATTTTCTTCAGTGGGATTTTTCTTAATGGCTTCCCAGGGGGAAAGTCTGTTTTTTGAGCAAGGAGGTTCTCAAGGTTCCATGCACTCTTACCCGTTTATACCTCACTTTGGCATCATAGAAGCGATTCTGGCGGAAAAGGTAGTTGCCAAGTTCCTTTTCAGTCGTTGCCACTTTGAGGACTTTCTGAAGTGGAGACTGGTCTTGCTGCTCCTGAGGACCAGACAGAAATACCCAGGTTAAGAAAGACACAATGCCACAATGGAAGTGGTATTCCGCTAGGAATCTTCTGGAAACTGCGAGCTTGTTCACGGCCTTACATGTATGGAGGACACCGGAGTCCCGACAGAGGCTGCTGATGATAGCTGGCCTCCTTTTCCAATCTAGAGAAAGCCTACTGCTTTATGGTCTTGAACTGTCCCCAAAGCAGCCACGTCCATGGACTCCGGGAGTGACGGAGCTTGGCAAGCACAGAACTCGGAGCTCACAACCACCATTTAGCCAAGAAGCACTCAGCAGGTGCTGTTTGCTCAGAGCCCTGCAGTCTTTCTGGCTGTGACTACCCTGGCCACTTATCAGAATCACCTGTGGAGCCTTTTTTGTCCTGGCCCCATCCGGAGAGCCTAAATCAGCACCCCAGCTGTGAGACTCAGGCACTGGCAGGAACCTCTGCTCTGTGGAAAGTTGAGGACAGGGTGAGATCCATGCTGTTGCCTGAGTTCTAGAACTTACAGCCGAGAGGGCACAGAACTCGTCCGACTCAGCAGAGTTGAGGAAGTCAAGCAGCTCAATCTCAAACAGAACCGTGGCATTTGGAGGGATGAGGGGCGGGCAGCCCAGTGCCCCATAGGCGTAGGGTGGCTTAAACAGAAACCTGGCCAGCTCCCCTTTCCTCATGCTCAGCAGGCCCAGCTCCATGCCCCACAGTGTAATATCTGGAAAAACAGACAGGGAGTGTGGTTAGAGCTTCTCAGCATACTGTTTGGTGGTAGCAGCTTCTTTCCCTCCATGTCCTAACCTCTCCAGGCGCTAGCCCAGGCCTTCTGCATTGTGGTCCCAACTCACTCAGCCTCGTGTCCCACGGCCCCCTCCACTCTCGAACTCCGGCTTCTCCAGGCTCAGCAATATTCCTGCCTCTACATTTCCACCACACGCTTCCTTCTTTCTGGGATGTCTTCCTCCTCATGTCATGTCCAGCTTCCACCCCGACTAAAATCTTACACTTTAGGGCTGGTTCCAAATGCCTCTTGTTCCATGGAGTCTTCTGCGATCTTCCCAGAAGGGACTAACTGCACTGTCATTAAGTACACAGTGACACTGCTCAGCTTTCTCAATAACTCATCCGATTCTACCCGGTTACTGTAGTTGTCAGAAGGGGGGTCAATGCACAAGACCACAGTGAAGCCTTAGGGGCAGAGAGGTTCTAATCATCTGAGTACAAACTCTTTTCATCCTGCAAATGCTTAATCCACAAAGAAACATGCTCCACCGGCAGGTTAGGATGCAAACTTCACCTTGGCAAGTAGGCTGTCACCCAAAATCTAGATCTTCAGGGGAAATGTGGGTGAGAACATGGGTGATTCATCAAAACCCAGCCTCAGAAAAACCAACTCTAAGAATCTGTGCTCTGGACACTTCCAATCCTAACCCATCTGTCCCCAAGTGAACCCTATGTTTCCAGCTCCCAGCTTGAATTTACCCTCTCCAAGCTTCATCAGACGAGGAGTTTTCCTAAAGCAGTTAGAATCAAAAGGCTTGTCCATGTGCTCCAGGTATGCAGAGTATTTCACTAGAACAGAAAGAGTGTGAGGAGAAATACAGACCCAAGCACCCTCCTCGTCTATAATACCAAATCTCAAGTTATCCAGGTGGAACAGTGGAATTCATGAGCTTAAGCTGCCTGGCATTCTGAGACACAAAAGACTATTCCCATCTCTGGATGCTGCCCCTGGGCCCTGAGGTTCCAGGGCTCTGCTCTGTGCTTAGCACTTTGCCCCAGTCCAATGAAGCTTTTCTAAACCTGTAAAAGCTTTCTCTCTCCACTACTGCAATGTTAAACTCAAGGCCTTCATATTGAGCTACAATCCCAGCCATTTTTAAAATTTAAAATTTTGAGACAGGGTCTTCCCAAGTCCCTCAGTTGTGCTGGCTGGGCTCAAATTTTCAATCCTCCTGCCTCAGCCTCCCAGGCATGAGGTACCATGCCCGGTCCACAATGCTGTTTTAAAATGTGCCTTTCCTCACCCCGAAGGAAAGTGCAATCACACAGTTCCCTGAGGACAAAGGGCAGCCAGGCTGCAGCCAGCCATACCAAGCACCGAGGCATCAGGTGTCACCAGATCTCCAGCACCTTCTCGGATGACATCCTTCAGCACGCCCCTGTCCCCGGAAATGTCCAGCATCTTCTGGCTTATCCGCTGGTATTGCGACTGGTGGAGAGCAAAAGCCAGACCTCAGCACGCCACGCCAACCCGAGCGAGGGAGGCCACCCCAGGACAATGACCTCAAAACGGTGTCCAGGGCGCCCTCACCTGACCCGGTGGGTCGTCCCTGCGCAGGGCTTCTGAGAGCTGGGTGCTTTCCCCCATGTCCGCGCTGCCTGACCTCCCTTCGGCGCGAGCTCCCTGGTCACCCTTGGGGCCGCGACGCCATCAGGTTCCAAGAGCGCGGCCCACCACCCCTTTGTACCTGGCAGTTGGCTCCCGCCAGCGACATTTTGTTCTCAGATCGCGAGGAGGTGCTCGCTGCTCCAATCCAACTGCCACCAACTACCTTTGGGCTCTAGAAACCACAGAGGACGCCTGTGGGCTCTGGCGGGGGAGGGGCACGTGACCAGGCGCGCAGAGCCTGATAGGCGGCGGGTGTGCGCAGAGCATGCTGGGGCCGGAGAAGCGCGTGACGGTGGCTGCACGTCCTAAGCACGTGACTGGGTGCCAGCGAAGGGTGGAACGGGGGATGTGATAGCCCCCACAGAGCCCAGAAAAGCTTGCAGGTACATTGTGAATAATGTGGTGGAGCACAGGGAGGTGGTAGGTAGTTTAGGGAGGAGGTAGGTAGGTTAGGGAGGCTCAGGGAACGTTGGGGTCAGGGTGGGAAGAACTCCAGAACTGCAGCCATGGACAGGTCAGGCCGCTCTGCGCTTATTTTTCCCTAATAACTTCTCCAGACAGTGGGCATTTTATTACTGACTTCTGCCTGTGTTTTGTCTTCTCCCCCATTTTTCCTTGCCTTGCACCATCAAGAAAACAGCTGCTCTGTGGTCAGATCCCTGAGACATCTCTTTGTCCCCTGGCTACCAGGCTCTTGTCAGAGGTTGACAAAATTGACTTCTGACCTTTAAGCACTTTTTCTCTTGGCTTCTGAATTAGCATTAGTGTTCTATCACTGTGGTAACAAATTACCACAAAGCTAGCAGCTTAAGGCAGCACCTACTTAACTCATAGTTGAATAGGTTAGGTGTTCAGTGCCCTTTCTCACTGGGCCAAGATCAAAGTGTCAGTAAAGCTGTGTTACTTGCCGCCCTGGGTAGGGTCCAGTTCCAAGTGCATTCACATTGTTGGCAGAATCCAGATCCCTGCAGCTCTGCGTATAACGTCACCAAATCACAGCTGCAGTCCAGTGAGTTCTGCTGCTCACACTTGGAATCCTCTTCAGCCACATTTTCTCTGACTCCAGCCAAAAAAAAGTTCTCTGGTGTTAAGGGCTCATGTGATTAAATTCGGTCTCTGATAATTCAGGACTGTGACCTTAACTACATCTACAAAGTAGTCTCTCTTGCCGTGTAAGGTAACATTCACAGATATCAGGACCTATGGGGTGGAGATCTTTGGGGCTGTCCAGCTTCCCATGGATTCCAGGACACAGCCCTCTTCTTGTTTCCTCCTACCTCCCTGGCCAGGCCCTCTTAATCCTCCTCCTCTTCCTGACCCCCTCAACATCAGCAAACTCGTCCCTGTCCTTGGATATAGGCCCATTGTGTTTTTTGGTCTCTGAGAGATCCCAGGCATTCCTAAAGTTTGTATGTGAGGTACCTAATTGTACGTGGTGTATGCACAGCCAGCCCGTGGTCCCCACTGAGCTGCGGAGCTCCGGGTTCCTGTGTTCAGTGGCCTCTGATTGTCAAAGAGGAGTCCTCCTGCTGGCAGTGGCCATGTTGGCAGGGACCTTTTTAGAAGTGAACATATTTTTTTTTTAGTGATAGGATTGAACCAGGGCCTTCCTTGCACATACTAGGCGAGTACTGTACCACTGAGCTACATTTCCAGTCATTTTTTAAAATTTTATTTTGAGATGGGCTCTTGCTGTTTTTCCAGACTCACCTCAAATGTGTGACTTTCCTGCTTCTGCTTCCTAAGAAGCTGGGATGACAAACACATGCTGCTGTTCCTGTTTTAGAAGTGCACAGTCCTGGGCATGTCCATGTACTCCTGAAACGCTCTGGGGTCAGCACTCTGTGTAACAAACCCTCCATGGGAATGTGTTTACTGAAATCCACAGAGCCCCGCAGCACTCAGTCGCTCTACTCGACCATCACAAGCATCTGACTCTGGATTTCCCCTCCACTCTTCTCATCTTGATTTTGTCACTATCAGGCATAGGCATCACCAGCCACCCACTCAGGTGCTCAAGCCACTGAGATCCATTTTCTTGCGTAGAGCAGCAAGACTGCTGTGCTAAAAATATAACTCTGAAAAAAAAAACAACAACTCTGAGCCAGGTGTGGTGGTGCAGGCCTGTGATCCCAGCATTGGGGAGGCTGAGACAGGGGGATCACTGTGAGTTCCACACCAGCCTGGACTACATAGTGAGTTCCAGTTCGGTCTCAACTTCATAGTGAGATCCTGTCTCAAAAAACAAACAAACAAAAAGCCATCCAACCAAAACAAAACAAAAAAACTCCACAAAACTCTGATACTGTTTCCTTACTTTAAAATTCTTCAGTGTTCAGTCTTCAGCACAGAAGGGGGGGCGCTTTCCAGTGATTCCCAGTGCCCTTGGAGTTGAAGCCGTAGTTCTGCCCTGGAAGCTTGCCAGCCCACCCCCTTCAGCCCCATCTCCCGAAGTTCCTGCTCCCTTTTTATGTTCCTGCTACCCAGCCCGCCTCTCTAGTGTGCCAGCATCTTCCCATCCCTTTGTTCTTGCTGACCTATTGTCTGGGCACCCTTTCAGATGGCTGGCCTATTGGGGCTGGGGATTTAGTTCAGTGGCAGCATACTTGCCTCGTAAGCGCTAAGTCCTGAGTTCAATCCCAGGTACCACAAAAAACAAAACAAAACAGATGGTTGGCTTCTTTGTATTCTGTACCTTATTAAGTAAAGTTTTGTAGGAGACCATGAATTTGGACTGGACACCTGCTCTACGCCCAACAGAACAAGCCAATGTAGAATGTAGTCATAGTAACTGAGTTTTGATCAGTTTCAGCAGGCCCTAAGGCCAGTTAATTAATAAAGCTGTAAAACAAACAAACAAACAAACAAAAAACTAGTTAATCATTTGACTAAGCTGGAGCCAGTTAAATTGTTTTCTATGCCTTGCTTCCTTTTTTTCTATAAATGCTGCCATAAGACATTGTTGGGTGGCATTCTCAGACCCTTCCCTGGTTCTGAGAGCTACTGGATTCATGAATAATTTTTGTTTTGCTTTGTTTAGATACCCTTTACTAAGTTTAATTGGTCTAAGGAGTTTGCTTTTTTTTTTAATCAGTACTGGTGATTGAACCAAGGGCCTTCACTCTGAGCTACATCCTCAGCCATTTTACATTTATTTTGAGACAGAGTCTCACTAATTTGCTAAGTTGTCGACTGGGCTCAAACTTGCCATCCTCCTACCTCAGCCTCCCAGAATGCCGGGATTACAGCATGTGCCCCCACATCTGGCTAAGAGTTTTTCTTTTAACAAGCTCAACTGTCCCAACCTCAAAGGCATTGCTCTGCCTTTTTAAAATGATCCCTCGCACAGCCAGTCACCCATCCCTTTTCTCACCAGTCTGTTTACTTCCTGCATGGCATTTAACACTAGCATAGTGTGTATTTATGGCACATACCACCCCTACCTCTGTTACAAACTCCCGAAGGACAGGGACTTAGTCCTTTCTCTACTATATCCCCAATACCCAGCTCAGAGCTTGACACATCACAGGTTTTGGGTATTTCTTGAGTCAAGTAAAATTAGCCATCTCCCTGCTTATAACAGGCCCTGCCTGGCCTGTTGTAGGAAGGGACCTCGCCCCCTGGTAGACCTGGGTGCTCAGACCTCTTGGATCCGTGTCTGCTCTTCTTGTCTTTTCCCATCAGTATTTCCCCTCCCACCCATGATACATAGATCTGACGACCATGGATGACATCCATTGACTTCATAATAGAATGCCATTGAACCTTCAACACTGCACATTTTAAAAGTTCATGATTTAGTAATATTGAGCCAAAGAATCCATTCCCTGTGACTCGGTTGAGGCGAAGTTCAGAAACAGGACTCATGAGGAAAGAAGTCAGGACGGTGGCCACCGTTGTTAAGGGCTCTGACCAAGAGGAAGCAGCAGGACCCCAGCACAAAGTGCTTAAAATGTTCTACAACTTGTTCTTGAGAGAGGATAGTTGACAAGAGGTACATCAACCCTGGGAGTTAAGATTTATTTACTTCAAACTGGGCGTGGTGGTGCACGCATATAATCCCAGCACTCGGGAGGCTGAGGCAGGAGGATTGCTGTGAGTTCGAGACCAGCCTGGGCTACGTAGTGAGTTCCAGGTCAGCCTCAACTACATAGTGAGACCCTGTCTCAAAAACAAAACAAAACTCCATAAGATTTATGTACTTCAGCTGCACGTGGTGAGACAGACCTACAATCCCGTACCCTGGGAGGCTGAGACAGGAAGACCACAAGTTGGAGCCCAGCCTGGCCAATTTAGGAAGACCCCATCTGAAAATAAATAAATAAAAGAAAAGGGCTGGGAGCTGGGTTGGTAATCCCAGCACTTAGGAGGCTAGGCTGAAGCAGGAGGAGTCCTGCAAATTTGAGCTCAGCCTGGGCTATGCAGGAAGCCCCTGTCTTAAAAGAAAAGAAAAAAAACCCTCAGCAATAAAGAGGGAAGCTAAGTGGGGGGAGGGGTGTGGTTCAGTGGGAAGGCCCTGGGCATAATCTCCAGGCCTGAAAAAAATGCACTTTTGAAAGTTATTCTTGAGTTTAAACGTCTAGGTTAAAATACCTTCAAGATGAGATTGCCTCAGAGAGCAGCATGCCACGGCACGTGTCTGCCGTGTTTGGGGTTGGCAGGTGTGAGGACACACCCCCACCCCGGCAAGGCCGCCACCTGAATGTGGAGGTTATCAGAGCGGGCCCAGCAGAGGCCGCCTCCCCAGTCGCGTGACGTGACCCAGTTTCCACCTGATTCAGAGTGACCTTGGGGAGGGGGGTGTTGCTGGGAAAAGGGAGGCGAGCAGGGGTGGAGACCAAGCAGCAGGCACAGGAGTCCAGCTGTGCTCCCCAGGTCGCCCAAGCAGAGGCCTGGCTTGGTGGTGGATCGGGAGAGACCAGGTAACGAGGTGCTGGTGGCTGTCCCTGGGGTTTCTTCTCTCTGCCCCTCAGCTTCCACAGGGGAGCCGAGCCTGCCTGGTCCCAGGATGGGGGACGGTGTGGTTCTGGGACATCATTTTTCTCTGCTCTAGAAAGAACTGTCTGGGGATGTCCACTACAGTGCAGATTTCCGGGTCTCACTAGCTACCTGCCCAGTAGAATCCCTGAAGGTGGGAATCAGAAGCCCCAGTGCTACTGAGCTTCTGACGTTGTTTGGCTGTTCCAGAACCGATCCAGACCACGGAAAGGAGCGTAGCTTGTCTCTTCCATCCAGGTCTAGGCTGCAGAACGGCTGGGGCTGGAGCCTTAATTATCAGCATCACAGGTGGCCCCCCTGCCCCAGCTGGCCTTTCACATTTATTCCAAATCTGAGTCGACAAGGTGGGATTCATCTGTCTCCACGTGGCCGCTTCTGGATGCCAAGCCTTTTGTTGGGGAAACTGCAACCTAAGTTAATAAGTGGGTTAAGACTGGAATCGAGGGCTAGCATCCTTCCCTCTAAGTTCTGGAGGCCCCTAGGGCTGCTGGGGTAGACAGTGTGGACAGTGGGCTGGAGGGGCAGGACCGAGCCTGGCCGCCTGTGTTTCAGCCCACGCAGCACGCATGGCATGGCAGGTGAGCGTGCCCGAGCTGCAGGACCAGCTCCAGTGCCCCATCTGCCTGGAGGTCTTCAAGGAGCCCCTGATGCTGCAGTGCGGCCACTCCTACTGTAAGGGCTGCCTGGTGTCTCTGTCCTGCCACCTGGACTCGGAGCTTCGCTGCCCCGTGTGTCGCCAGGAGGTGGATGGCAGCAGCTCCCCGCCCAACGTCTCCCTGGCCCGGGTGATCGAAGTCCTGCAGCTCCCAGGGGGCGCAGAGCCCATGGTCTGTGAGCACCACCGAAACCCACTCAGCCTCTTCTGTGAGAAGGACCAAGAGCTCATCTGTGGCCTCTGTGGCCTGCTGGGCTCCCACCAGCACCACCCCGTCACGCCGGTGTCCACCGTCTACAGCCGCATGAAGGTGAGAAGAGAGGGCTGTCGGGGGACCACGGGCGCTTGGCGTTGAAACCCACCCTTGTGCTCTCTGGCGCCACCGTCTGCCACAAACTACAGTGTGTCCTGGCCAGGACCAGGGTGTTCATCTGGGTCGAGCAGGTGCTGAACCAGGTGCTGGGGGCGCAGCCACACGGTGGGCGGGAGCCCCTGGTGTCGCTTGCAGCCCCTTCCTCTGCCATTCTTTGTATTACTGGTTTGTTTCCAGCGCGCTGTCCTGCTTGTGTGCTCAGAGGGCGGGGACTTAGGTTGCCCCATATTTTTAGTACCCTCAGCCTTACCTCTCACCGTCTAGGCTCACGGGGTGTTTGTTGAATCAGGGAATCCCTGACCCCACAGAGCACTGTGCCAGATCAGCATTTAAGATGCAGGGGAATAGCGCCATCTGGATCACTAGGTTTATGTGAGGCTTCTGGGCCAGTTGCATCTGCATGATCTCACTTACTCCTTAGAGAACAGTTATGGGAGGCAGGCAGGGTGGGGTTGTTGTACTTTACACCTGAGGAAACTGAGGCTCAGAGAAGGAAGGATCTTGCCCAAGTTCATATTCAGATGACTTATAAGTGTGTGGCCGGGACTCCCACGTGAGGCAAGTTTCCCTTCAGTGCTCTGGGCTGAGAAATGACAGGAAAGGGAAGATACTGGGCTCAGTGGTTGGTCATGGAAGGCCTGTGTGACACAGGAAGGGACCTGGATTTATTCAGAGGCAGTGGGTGGGTGGATGATGATGTGGTCAGACCCCTCTGGCAGGGGTAGACTGGAATAATTAATGTCAGGGGTGGAAGGGTAGAGCGAGATAGGAGGGCGTTAGGACCTGAGGGATGGCAGAGGGCAGGGAGGCCTGGGGCACCCTGGGAGATACCTAGAACAAAACCCTGAGGACTGGATGTGGGAATGGGGGAAGGAGGAGCCACCTCCTCCGGCACAGATGAAGGAGCACGGGGAGGGATCTTGCAGCAGGAGAATGGTGGGCCGGGCCAGCCTGTGATGCAGCCCGCCACACCCTTTACCCGTTCCTCCGTCCACTCCCTTTCATGCTCTCCTGTCTTCTCTGCCTGTGGAGCTCTGGAGCACTTGACTGATTGACTTGCAGTTTCCTCCCCTCCCTGTGGCCTCTCTGCCTCATTGGGTGGCTGCTGAAATGCTGTTCTGGGGCTGCGACACAAAGCTCGGAGGCCTTGTCACCTGGAGCGAGAACATTGTGTCCACCTCTGCCCATGCCAGCTTCGCTCCAGCTCCTTTTTGGAAACCCCTGCAGCTCTTTTATGCTTGGCAATGATCTAAACCAGAGAGCCCAGACACGGCCATAAACCAGCAGGGATCTAGGCCAGCAGGGACCAGATGGTGGTGGAGGGGGCTGGCTTGGCAACCTGAGGCTGGGCACATTAGGGTCAGGGCAGTCCGGAAGTATGAATGTGTCCGCCCCAGGAGGCCTCAGGTGTGCATAGAGGGAGGTCACTGGGTTTCATGTGGGCCATGGTAAGCAACGTCAGCCTCCCTGGGGCAGCCTTGATCAAGGCAGCTCCTGAGCAAATGCTCATTCATACTGGACCCACTGGTGATTGCGGAGTTTACCAGTGGCCTGCACTGGGCGCAGGGAGAGTTGGCTCCCAATCCCAGTCAGTTGCCGTGTTATGTGGACTTCAGGTGGCTATGGCAATGTTTTGCACCCATGTCTACATCCGTGTCCCGGAGAGGGGCGACACTGGGACTTCTTCTGCCTTGGCAATTCCTGTGGCTGTGTGGAACACACTTGAACACTCTAATCTATTTGGGGTCCAAGGAAACTTGGGTGGCTCTGGTCCCTGCCCCGTCCCACTGGGGGTGCTTGTGGCCACGGTGTCACTCCAAGAAGGAAGAGGCCCAGCGCTGTGCAGACAGGAACACCAGGACACTGGCAGAGCCACACAGGCGTGATGCTGAAGGCAGGGGACCTCAGTGTGCCACTCGGAGGGGAGCAGTGCTGTGCAGGGTGAGGGGGTGTGGTCTGGGGGTGTTAGCAGTCGAGGTGCTGGGGCTCTATAGCCGGGAGCAGGGTAGTGAAGATGGGAGCAGAGGGTGTGGCGGGTCCCCTGCTCAGGGACCATGGTGTGTTGACTCCAGGAGGACCTCGCAGCCCTCATCTCTGATGTGAAGCAGGGGCAGAAGGAGGTGGACGAACTTATTGCCAAACTGGTGAACAACAGGACCCGGATTGTCGTGAGTGCCCTTTTCCTCTGCACTTTCCTGCAGAGCCCAGTTCTTTTACTCTTTTATTTTTTATTTTAATTTTTTTGCTGAGCTGGCAGTGGAATTTAGGGCCTTGTTGCAAGAGCCTGGGCCAGAGTTTGGTCTCTGAGCCACACCCGCAGTGGGCCCAGCTCTATTTGTCCTTTACTGAAAACCATATCTTCCATTCAAAGCAGAGTTCAAAGCATTCCAGAGTGGGTGGGGAAAGTGCAAATCCGCCTAGGAGAATTCTGCCCAGTTGTCAGGCAGGACAGGCTCCAAGTTGGCTCTCCTCCTCCATGTCCTTGGGGCTGAGATAACCCAGGACTTGAGTCCCTGAGATAAACAGCCCAAAGCTCAGGCATGACTTTCCCACTTGTGTCTTTTTGCCCTTGACAGTCTGTTGTGGGCCTTCCCACTACCTGGGGGCAGAGGCCTGGCAGGGGAGCCCTGGGAGCTGTCTGGTTCACCTGAGTGAGTGGCCAGCTGGGTCTGGGGCTGCTGGAGCAAGAGCAGGAGCGGCTGCTGGTCTCAGGCACCATCTGATGGTGGCAGTGCTTGGTCCACAAGGCATGAGTCCTGGCAGCCTCCTTCCCAGGCCTGTTCTCCTGGGCGCTTTAACATATTGCTCAGTTGTGGATTCTTAGGATAAAGTCTTAGCTACACAGGTGATAGTTAACACAGGCAAAAGCAGAAGAGCTAGGGTCCTGTCCCTGGTCACCATCCCCACAGCTGACTCCCAGGCTCCCCAAGTCCAATGTGAACTCCCTGGGGACATTGAGGCTGGCCACTGCAGACAGGTGGCTTGGTAGTGACTCCACCATGAGCTACCCTCCCTTGTCCCAGAACGAGTCTGATGTCTTCAGCTGGGTGATCCGCCGTGAGTTCCAGGAGCTGCACCATCTGGTGGACGAGGAGAAGGCCCGCTGCCTGGAGGGGGTGGAGGGTCACACGCGCGGCCTGGTGGCTTCCCTGGAGATGCAGCTGGAGCAGGCCCAGGGCACTCGGGAGCGGCTGGCCCAGGCCAAGTGTGCGCTCCAGCAGTTTGGCAACGAGAGTTACCACGAGTTCATCCGGGTGAGCGCCACAGGGGTGGCCCCTGAGCCCTCCCTGCCTTCCCTGCCAGCCTCGTGGCTTCCCCATAGCCATTACCTGCCTCTCTCTTGTCTTCCAGAAGTACCATTCCACGGCCTCCAGGTAACAGCTGAGATACAGCTGCTGGGGTGATGTCAGCAGGGGCCGGTGGCTGCAGGCACAGGCAGCTCCTCCATTGGTCCCTCCATTTGGTTTAAGCAGCCGCCCCTGGGTAGCTTCCCACATCTGGCTCTGGTCCCCAAGCCCAGGGCAAACAGCGAAAGTCATGTCCCTTTTTCAGGAGTTCTGCAGGGTGCCGGGGAGGCAGATGGCAAGCTGTGGTCCCAGCACTGGGCGGACAGGAATGCCAGGGCACTGGCAAGCCACACAGGTGTGATGGCTAAAGGCAGGGGACCGCAGTGTGTCCCCAGGCAGGGAGGGCAGCAGTGCTGTGCAGGGAGAGGGGATGTTAGAAGTTGTGGCACTGGGGGTCAATAGCCAGAAGGAGAGGAGCTAAGATGGGGGGCCCGGAAACCTGCGCTCTGGGGTCCACTGCTAGGAAGGAGCGGGGCGCTCACGAAGAGGACAGGGGAAGTCACGGTGGACAGTGTGAGTGCACAGCCCAGAGTGTGGATTTCCCTGGGTGGCCTCCAATGTGGGACAGAGGGTGGATGTGGCCCTGGGCACAGAGCTCTCCCATCCCCGTGACCTGTCACCTGCAGAGCGGAGCTCCAGCAGGCGCGGCCCTTGGAAGGCGCATTCAGCCCTATCTCCTTCAAGCCAGGCCTGCACCAGGCCGACATCAAGCTGACTGTGTGGAAAAGGCTGTTCCGGAAAGTTCTGCCAGGTGAGGCCCCCACCTGTCCCCTTTCTGTCTTTTCATGAGTGGCACCAGAGCACTTGAATCTGCAGTGAACTCAGAGGAAGGCACATGGGGTGGTGGTGAGAGCACGGGGCTTGTCAAGATCAGCTCCTATCAGTCTCTAATTAGCAGACTGGGCGGGGTGCACTGTGTCTTTTCTGAGTGTCAGGCTCCATCTGCTAAGATGCACTAATGCCTGCCTGGCTGGCTGTGGAGTTCACATGTACACCTGTGTGTGGCTTTGAGCTTAACAAATGGTAGTTATTGTTCTCTGCCAAAACCCCAAAGACGCTCAGTGAGTTCCTTTATTACTAGCATGCTGTTTACTTGTATGTAAAAAGATCAGTCAATGGACTGGTTTCTCCACCAAAGGCAGAGGTAGAGTTTGTATAAAAAAAGGGGAGAAAAAGTTGCAGCCTTTGAACAGTAAGTCCTGCCTGTGCACTTCTGGGGTTACCCAGTCAGCGGGTGGTTAGCACAGAGGTGAGCAGGGCCGTTTGTCCTTGGGCAGGCTGATCTGGCTAACAGGTAACAGGTCTGCTGTCAGGAGTTCTCCAGAAGCCTCGGGGGGCAGGCTGTGGGCCACACCTGAGAGCAGCCTTCCCATCCTTCACCCACACCTCTCCTGCAAGACCAGTGTACACCTGTCCCTGACTACAGTGTCCCCAACCTTTTTGGCACGAGGGACCTGCTTTGTGGGAGACAGTTCTTCCAAAGACGGGGTCGGGAGGATGGTCTGCAGATGATTCAAAGGAGCGCACGACCTAGATCCCTCGCGTGCACCCATCACAGGAGCGCCTGTACTCCCATGAGAGTCTAATGCTGGGCCGATCTGACAGGAGGCGAAGCTCAGACCGAGAAGTGGGCAGTGGGGAGCAGCTGAAAACACACACAAAACTTAACTAACTTGCTGCTCGCCTCCTGCCATGCTGCCTACTTCCTAACAGGCTGCTGACCCATCCTGGTCCACGGCCTAGGGGCTGGGGACCCTGCCTTATTAGAACCTCTGGCTCCCGGTGCTGTCTGCCGGCTTCTGCCATCATCCAGCACCCCTCATCCAGCACACGGCTGCGTGTCTGGCCCTTTTCTGCTCTAGTGATCCAGAGGGCCCAGCTCCCGTGAGGAGCTCCAGGCTGCCATACCTGAGGTAGGGTCTGCTGCTGTAGGTGTGGCTTAATGCCAGGCCTTCTCTGTTTCCTGCCCAGCCCCGGAGTCTCTCAAGCTGGACCCTGCCACTGCCCACCCCCTCCTGGAGCTCTCCAAGGGTAACACAGTGGTACAGTGTGGGCTCCTGACACAGCGGCACGCCAGCCAGCCCGAGCGCTTTGACTACAGCACCTGCGTCCTGGCCACCCGGGGCTTCTCCTGTGGCCGCCACTACTGGGAGGTTGTTGTGGGCAGCAAGAGCGACTGGCGCCTGGGAGTCATCAAGGGCACCACCAGCCGCAAGGGCAAGCTGAGCAAGTCCCCAGAACATGGCCTGTGGCTGATCGGCCTCAAGGAGGGCCGAGTGTACGAGGCCTTCGCCTGCCCCAGGGTGCTGCTGCCTGTGGCGGGCCACCCCCACCGTATCGGGGTCTACTTGCACTATGAGCAGGGGGAACTCAGCTTCTTTGACGCTGATCGCCCCGATGACCTGCGACAGATTTACACCTTCCAGGCTGACTTCCAGGGCAAGCTCTTCCCCATCCTGGACACGTGCTGGCACGAGAGGGGCAGCAACTCGCTGCCCATGGTGTTGCCCCCGCCCAGCGGGCCTGGCCACCTCACCCCCCGGCAGCCTACCAAGCTGTAGGCTGATCCGGTGCTGCACTGGGTGCTGGTACCGAGGGCTTCCCCCGGGTGATATCGTCACTCTTTGGGACGGTCTTCCCGCCTGTGTTTCCCCGGAGCATTTATGACACGGAGAAAGGCCACAGTCCCTTCCTTGCCAGCCAGCTGGGGTTAGCAGAGCCAGACCTGGGCATTCACACGTCCTGCTGAGCAACCCTGTCCCTTCCGACCACGCTGTCTTCTAGCTGAGGGTGGAAATGTACCTTCCTCTTTATCACTGTGAACGTAACTCTTAAGAATAATAAATCTGACTGTCTCTCTCTTTAAATGATCTAATAATTGTTTTAAAGTATACTGTTTTTGTTTGGTTTTATTTTGTTTTTTGAGACAGGGTGTCACTATGTAGTTGAGACTGACCTGGAACTCACTATGTAGCCCAGGCTGGTCTCGAATTTACAGAGATCCTCCTGCCTCAGCCTCCTGAGTGCTGGGATTCCAGGTGTGTGTCACCATGCCCGGCCATAAAGTATACTGTTTAATGCTCAAGTCTGTATTTTTGCTATGTGGGGATTGAACCCAGGCCCTTACCCATGACAGGCAAGTTCTCCCCCCAATGAGCCACTAACCCAGCCTCTCTGTTTAGGCATCTTGCTTTCACCTGGTGCTTGCTTGGGCTGTGTTCAGAGTTACATTAACCAGTCTGTCACGGTTTCTTCCTCGGACTTCTCTGATTCATCTTTCAAGTAGATGGAATAGAAATGAAGCTGCAGAGGTCAGACAGAGAGGATACAGCTCTGCGAGATGCCCAGGAGCATGAGAATGGCAAGCCTGCCCTGATCACAGTAGAGGGGCAAATATCTGCTCCAGACCAGGCTGGGACAGCCAAATTCTCACCCAGGAAACTGACAGTTGGCAGAGAAAAGGGGTGGAGCTGTCACCTGAGACCTGGCACTTTCAGGAGCAGATCCACAGCCCTGTGCTAGAGCCCAGGAGCCTCTGTGAGGGGCAGCTCTGCCCTGGTGCCTGGGGACAATGCCACATGGACACCCAGGCAAGGCTTGGGTGCACTTTTTCTGAGATGGTAACATTATCGTCTCCAGGAAGTATGGCTTGGTATCTTTGGGTGGCCGTTATTCAGCCCACACCACCAGGTTCCTCTATCATAAGAAAGGCATGACACCCCAACCAGAAACCTAAACCTTCTCTTCCTCCTCCTCTACCTTCCTCATCCTCCTCCATTTTACTCCTTCTCTGCCTTTTACTCCTTCTTCCTTTGCCTCTTCTTCCTTCTTTTCCTCTTCTTTTGTTTTTGTTTGTTTTTTGAGACAGGGTCTCACTCTGTAGTTGAGACTGACCTGGAACTCACTATGTAGCCCCAGCTGGTCTCAAACACAGCGATCCTCCTGTGTCAGCCTCCCCAGGGCTGGGATTAGAGGCGTGTGCCACCACGCCCGGCTTTTTTTTTTTTTTTTAAACAAGGTCTTGCTATGTAGCCCAGGCTCACAGCAATCCTGCCTCAGTCTCCTAAATGCTGGGATTACAGGCAGGAGCCACCATTCCCAGCTGTGTGTTATTCTTGATCTGTCCCTCCTCCTGTTCAACTTCTGTGGCTTTAACTTTTAAACTGCAGTCACATTTCCAACTTCAACCCAGCTCCACTGACACCAGCCCACTCCAGGCCACCACTTCCTACCAGGATGACTGCTGTGTCTTCTACCCGTCTCCCTGCCTCGACCCTGCCCCCTCAAAATCCCTTCCCTGCACAGCAGCCAGACTGATGTTTTAAGGAAACAAATCAGAAGGTATCTCTTCCTAATTAAACCCTTCAGTGGACTTCCATTTCTCTCAAGGTAGAGGTCAAGATCCTTTTTGTAGCTTTGGATGATCAGACCTCCTTCACTTACTCTGTCCAGCCACGCTAGTCCATTTCAGGTCCCCAAATACACTGGACTTTTGAATTATGATCAGCCTGACATAAGAATGACTTGGGTTACAACTGGAATTTTAGTTTTAACTTATGACCAAAGTCTTGAGGTATGGCCCAAATACCAGCCGCTTGCGGTTCCAGATGGTCTCAGATACAGATTTAACCCTTAAAGGTTTCTGGAAGGAACATTACAACACCCTTTCTTGTGTGTGGTTAATTGAGAAATCCTGGGCCAATGTCTCTCTAAAGACACTGAAATCTTTCAAGAGAGAGATTTTGAAGGCTACGTAGAGGAGCCTGAGCCTTCAATTGACCAACTTGAGTTGCAACCAGCCCTTGAGAATGAATTGAGTTTGTAAGGGTCAAGGGTCCCGTTGTCCGTGTGTCTTCTTCCTTTGGGGACACTACTCAGGTTTCCTGAGCTGAATAGCCTGAGCCTGGATGGTCCAAGTCCTATTCCAGGGCTGTCATGGGTGCCATTGGTCAGACAGCATCAGGTGTTATGGAGCACACCTGCCCAGAGCTCCTGGGGTCATCTTAGCCATTCCATGGAAAATGCCCAGCCCAAGAATGTAGCCATCAGATGACAGCACAAGAAGGTGAAGACACAAGGACACCTAAGTAAACAAAATAAGAGCAGGTTTTAATTTGAAAGTTTGCTGGTAACATTTGGGCTCCTTGATACAGCCATGCCTGAAATGCATCCCGATCCCCCAAGCTCCAGGGATTCCTATTTGTGTAAGCAAGTAATCTCTACCCCTTTTTATTCTCTTTAAAAAGCTGGGATTCTGTCACTTGCAACTGAAAAAGTTCTGACCAGCTGTCACCTGGATACAAAAGTTCTTAGACCCAATCATGAGACTGAAAAAGAGCTGGTTGGTCGGCCTTTTTCTTTATGTAAAAGCCTTTGTAATCTAACAATTGGTTTTGGGACATTTTATTGTACCTACACCTGTTCCCCACTCACCAGGAGGAGGTGTTTCAGTGTGAGCCAATTCTAGTACAACTAGTTATCCAATGTCACACCAATTTGTGCTTATTCATGCATGCAGGCATGCTCCCATATTTTACTATTTTAGATCTTTATTGTAAGGAAGACACTGATCTGAAGGTAAGGGTAGATCGGTGTCAAGACAGACAAGGTCTTTGTCTCCATGGAATAAGCGATGGCAACAGACAATAAACCACAAAAAAAGTAAATAACCACATATGGAATAGGTGATATGATAAAATAAGCGACAGGATTTGATGGAGGTGCTACTAAAATATCACTCGGAAGCATAAAGGGGATCAAATTTGGATCGGGGGCCCTCACTTTGAGTTACACCCCACCCCCTTTTTTTGTGAGACAGGTCACTAAAGTCACTAAACTGTAAACGCCTGTAATCCCAGCACTCTGGGAGGCTAAGCAAGGAGGAAGGCAAGTACCAGCCTAGCCTGGGCAGCTTAGCAAGAACCCGTCTCAAAGTGAAAAATTAAAAAAAAAAAAAAAGAAAGAAAGAAAAAAGAAAAAAAAAAAGTATGGGGATATAGCTCAGTGTGAAGGCCCTGGGTTCAATCCTCAGTATCATACCCCCTTAAAAAAACACATATTAAGTTAAAGTTTGGAACGACTCAACAATTCTAACGCAGACCAAAATCAATCTCTTGCAAAATGCTTGCTGAGACGCCTGACCCAAGGTTTCGCGTCCAAATTCTCCACTACTTTGCTATACAGAATCCTGCACCCTCTGACTCCGGAAGTCCGGCCGTAAAGAACGTACAGGTCGAGGGAAAAGCCGGCTGCGCTTTGCGACAGCGCCGTAAGTGCGCGTGGGAGCGGGAGTATGGCGCTGTACGCAGCGGCAGCGGCGGTACTGGAGGGCGTGGAAAATCGCAAGGGCTCCCTCAAGGGGCTGGTGTACACCAGCAGCTTCCAGGTAACAGGGCTGGACTCAGAAAAGGTGGGGTGCCGGGGGCCCCGAGGTCGGGCCGAGGGGGGTCCACCTCCGCCCCGCTCAGCTTGTCTCCTTTCTGCCGCGCAGAACGTGAAGCCGCTGTACGCGCTGGTGTGCGAGACGCAGCGCTACTCCGCCGTGCTGGACGCGGTGATTGCCAGCGCCGGCCTCCTCCGTGCCGAGAAGAAGTTGCGGCCGCACCTGGCCAAGGTGAGGGGCGAGGCGGGCCGGCTTCTGTCACCAGGTCCCCGCCCTGCCCGGCGTCGCTCTTCCGAAATGAGTCTGCGCAGCTCTTACTGGGTTATGCACTGACTTAAATGAATTTGCTTTAACTTCGGGCCCTGCATAAAGGAATGATTGGAATAGAAAGCCGGGCACGGTGGATCACGCCTGTAATTTCAGCACTGTGGTAGGCAGAGGCAGGAGGATCGCAAGATTGAGCTCCACCCTGAGTCAGTTTAGGGACTTCTTGAGATTTTGGCTAATAAGGATTG